TATATATATATATATATATATATATATATATATATATATATATATATACATTTTTTTTTCTTATGGAGATTTATCAGCCAATTGCATCTACGATTTTTTGCAGTTCATTCAAAAAGTAATCGATTACAAGATCATGGAGATTTATCGTGAGAAAGCCCGTGTTTTGTCTCCCCATTGATTTTCACATTTGTCAATTTTGTATGCAAGATCATTTTGTAGTTGAAGGCATAAAAATGTTGGATTTGTTGAAACCCATGGAGCCTCCAGTGAAAAGAAGAGCTGGTCTGTGGGTTGTACAAGCAGGGCGAGGGTCATATCGAGGAAGTTAGCAGATTGGTTTTCTTGAGTTTGTTGGGTTTATTTCTTGTACTAGAATATTTTTTACCTTGTCATATAATTAATCATGGGGACTAGTTTCCTGCGAACAATCCTCCAACGCCTCTGCTGTGATTCTCCGTGGGATTATACGGTTTTTTGGAAGCTTAAGCATCAACATGAAATGTAAGTCAACTTGCGACCTTTTTTTTTTCTCTTTATTTTCTTTAATTTTCTTTTTCTGTTTGGTGGTTTCAAATGAAAAATTGTTGGTTGAAGATGGTTCGAACCTTATACTAGGAACTCATCTCCATTTCTTGTTCAACTTTCTCGTTTGACTGGTATAGGAAGCTTTTTATGCTCTTGATAGTTTATATACTTGCAGTTTTTTGTTTAAGGTATTCTTTAATGTGATTAGTTCATCATAGGGCTCAAGAGATTGCCTCACAAATCCACATGATCAATCGACGCGTTAAAAATTTTGGACCGATGCCTTAGCATGATATACTTACAATTTGAACCTTTTTTTCTGATGGTTCATCAGTTTCTCATGCTGTTTGTTTATTTGGTCAGCTTTTTTCTATCACGTCTGGCAATTAGAATTTTAAGCAAGATGATTTAATTTATTGCTTCTCTTAGAAATTAGATATACCATTTATGAGTCTTAAATGCTGAATGATCTTGTTTGTCAGGGTATTGGTGTGGGAAGATGGCTTCTATGACCCTATGAAGCTAAGAGATCCCTTATTGGGCCCGGCAGAAGGTCCGTTTTATGAAAGCCCGAACAAGATATTGCCCTCTGCTTTCCCTTCAACTGCCCTTGATGGAATACCTTGCGAAAATCTAATTGGTCGTGCTATAGCTGAAATGTCAAGTGCTTCACATGTGGTGGGAAAAGGGTGAGATACTGGTTTGTGTTATACAATCAATTATATATATATATATACTTATTTAATTATATGCAAAATAATTCTGCAACAGGCTTGTTGGAAAAACGGCATTCACGGGGAATGCTAGATGGATATATTCAGACAACATAGTATCTAATGTCTTCAATTCTATTTTAATTCCTGAGGTGAGTTTCTCTATCCAAACTCTGCAATTGCGCTATGCTTCTTATTTATTTTTCAAATATTTATGTTTTTTTTGTTTGGTCGTTATTTGCAGTGTCAGGATGAATGGCCGCTTCAGTTTGCAGCTGGAATTAAGGTAAGCTAATATCCAAGCTAGATAATGGTCTTTCTTACTGCTGCATAAGCATAATATAAGATTATAATCGAAAAAACATTAAATTACCAGATGAGGACTTTTTATGCTTCTCAATGCTTGTGCAGACTGTATTACTTTTGCCTGTAATGCCACATGGAGTTCTGCAGCTTGGATCAGTAGCAATGGTTTGTATTTGGTTCGATGCTATTTACATTTGTTTCTAATGCAAATGATAATAATTGATGAATTTATGATGACCTTCTTGACGTATTAAAAAACAATATATATTTAATACATTTCTGCTCTGTTACGTTTGCTATTATCGGAATTTTATCTTTACTTATTTTGTGGACTTTTGTTTTCCTTTCTTTCTTTCTTTTATTAAAAAGTTTTCATCTGCTAATGAATGAATTCAGGTGGCTGAAGATGCAGCTTTAGCTGCTTATGTAAAAACCAACTTTGAGGCCCACATGATGGAAGCCTCTCTGTACGGCTCCGAATATTCGGTTCATCAGATATCAACAATGTTTAATTTTCCAGATAATTTGGATCAAGCTTCAGCTATCACCTCAGGAAAAGTAAAATTAATAGAGGATCAAAATACAACTCGTGTTGTTCAAGACTTCCGTTATTTATGCCCGCGTTTTGTTGCCCATTCTCTCGAAACTTGGTCTAAAGTTGACTTCAATGCTGATAGTTCATCAAACAAGTCGAGCATTACTTCATCCAATGTGTCATTATCGGAAAATTTGGCTTCTTCTGGAAAGCACGACATATCCACTAAAACCCCCGGAGTAGGAGAATGTAATGTTCGTTTTGAATCGTTTGAATCTGGAATTAATGCTGCCAAGATTAGTGCAGTTTCTGATAAGCAACGAAAGAGGAAAGGATTCGACTCGGTAAACCCTGGAAAATTATCGGTTACCAAAAAGAAAAGGATTCAAGAACGGCTGAAGGAGCTTAGGGACCTTGTGCCAAATAGTGAAAATGTATGGATATTTGCTTACATAATAATGCTTTTGTGTAAAACTTACTATTGATCGTCTGTTTTATTTAATTTTTTTTTTTCTGCTTGCTACAAATGCAGTGTAGCATTGATGGACTCCTTGATAAAACCGTAAAGCACATGCTCTTCTTAAGGAACGTAACCAAGGGGACTCATAAATCGAGGCATCACAAAACGGTAAAGAATCTCAATATGTGTTT